CTCTGAGCAGTCCAAGCATGTACACTACAGCTGCATCCAGTCCCAGGCGCATGCAGCCTGTGATTCAATGTATCCTGGCAATTTCAAAGAGAAAAAAATATCCATTTTACATTTTCCAAATCAGGAGTCGTCTACAGTTACTAACAAGTATGCAATGCTGTCCCTTTAATTAAATAACTTTGTTTAAGACGTATAAATATTTGCTTGGGGAATTCATTTTATGCATTCAGGAGATGATCATGAGGAAAAATTCTCATGCTTGCGGGCGAAAAAGGCTAAGATGCTTGAATTAGACTCAAGCAGAAATGCATTAATCCAGAGTCACAAACCTCAAAGCTGTTCAAGATTTTTCTTGTCTGGAAATGCATGGAGTTCCTGGGAGCCTGCCCGCTCTACTGCCAATTCCATGTGTGCTTGCTACCATATGGCTTCTGTGCATGCCTCCTGTGAGAGGCCAGGCGGGGTGCCTATAACTACCTTAAAGATAGCAAGCAGACTACAGTGGGACTCCTGGTTACGTTTAGTATACGAACAGTGAAAGAAAATGGTCTACTTGTAATCAAGCCACTTAACGAAGTCCGCAGTACTCCATCTCTGAAAAATAGGCAGATATCTTCTTATGTCACTGTAATGTTGCAGTTTTATTTTGCAAAGAGTGAATAAGCTGGTTGGAATACACAGCTTTTCTTTGATTAGATCAAGTTTCATTCAAAGTTGCTCTAGCTTTAGTCTTGTGGTTACCCATATGTTATTAAAGCATTTTTTTTCTTTTGGCATTTCCTTTGCGGGGAAGAGACTTGAACAAGAGTTTCAAGTTCCAAAATAAATGAAAGATAGTTATTCTGGTCTAAACAAGAAAAACTGTGGTTGCCGTAGTCAGGATTGCAAACCAGTTTTGGTTTAAGAAAATATCCCATCAAACCCCAGGAGGCATGGAGGAAGGCGAGCGTTCACACAGAGATGCTGCACCATCGCAAATCTGATGCTCAGATCCCCTCCCTCTTGGAGCCCCTGGCAGTCCAATACTTTTTCTCTACCACAGTTCTCTATCTCTAACTGCAGATATTAATATTTCATTTCTTCCTCCATTTGTCTTCCTTGCTTATTCAAATTGAAAGCTTGTCAGAACAGGGACTGAAAATCTCTTGGTATGTATACATCATGAAATAAAGTGGAAATCTGAGAGCTTGGTTTGGTCTCACAGGAGATCGTATGAAATAATTTATATATAGATTTGTATATGTATTAAAATAAGTGGCAGTTATATGATATTTGAAAAATACATTTTTCCCAGTGTAAAATTATTACCTCATCGTTTTATTTTTTTCCCCATATAGACATCTAGAGAAAGCTGGATGTTGAAATCTGGCATGCGAATGGTCCACTGTCCCACTGACTTAGGGGGAAAAAATGTCCGCTGGCCAACAACAGTTTTCTGATATTTTCAACAACTGGAACATCGCAAAGACATGAACCAGCAATAATATTATCACACTGCACAACTGACTGAAGTTGGCACTTCTGTACGAAGAAATTTTCAGCACAGATGCAAACATCAAAATAAATTACTGCACTTGTGGCAATGTACACTTTCTAATGAGAATTCTCTTTGTTTTTAAACAAGAAATACAAATTGTACGGCTGGATTTTTTCTTTCAAATAATTCAATTTACTGAAGAATTCAGGAATCTGAAAACATCATTACAACCCTGTTCAGTTTCACAACTTCATTCAGACATTCTCCGCTGTTACAATTTTGGGACTGAAAGCCACAAAATGCTGCTAAATGTAGCCAAAATGCTTACATTCAAGATGGTCAGTTTTAACCTGAAGACAATTACTCTTCAAAAAATGTATTTCTGGCTAAAATAGGAACTATTGAAATTCAGCCACAGATTAAGCCTAGCTTTCCCTACCAGAAACTCTGCAGCCAACATGTGTTGCCTTCCTTATATACTATTGTACTTCAGCTTGCCAATGCCACGCAAGCTGATTTAATAGTCTGGAAGTGGTGAATAGGTGTATATGATTTTTCTGTGATTCCAGTGAGAGATATCCGACACTGTTCACGCTGTTCACTTTGTCTCCAAATAAACAGATGTAATTTTTCAATACAAAGAGTTATTTTTCATCACCACTGAGAGGGAAAAGGTAAGACACCAGATAAAATATTTGTTTGTGATCCAAAAGATGGCATAAAATATATATATAATATCTAATATGGTGATTCTTTAAACTGTCACTGTTCCTTTTTTTGGCTACGTTATTCTTCTAAAATCCACATTCTTAGTATTCTTTGAACACTAGCACTAGCGTTCTATCTTCCACACCTGGGGACTTCAGCTTTAATAGTATTATTCCATCTGGAACTTATAAATTTTGACCTTTTATCCTAAAGGCCAGATTTCAATAGCTTTCCAGAGTTCTACAGTCCACATGGTGCATTTCTTCCATGCTTCAACATCCTCAGTGTGTTCCATAATTGGTTGATTAAAAATGTAAAAAGTTTGAGATTCAGAACAGTTTGTATTTCATGCACCTATGATACTTATACTTCAAACAGTTCCCTGACATTTTATTTGTTTCTTCTTTCAAATAAATAATTCAGATAACGTATAACATTTTTGTAACTCAGGAATGAAAGTCAATACTATTCATAGTGCTGTTGACATGTCGTCTAGTAATTTATGGAATAATTATGGCCATATTTAGAGATGCCTATTCCTTACATTTCTGATCTGCCCTCCTCCCATACATCTTGACAATGTTGTTGTAATTCATGTATATTGTACAGACTGAATATATTCGAAGACAGACAATTCAATCCAGACAAATACATTAAAAATATAACACAGCTGTTTGGAGCTCTAGTTCTCCATGGGAATTTAACAGTAGACATTTTGTTAGCAGTGAAGGAAATCTGCAATTCTATCCTTTATTCCTAATCCAGGAGACCATGAATGATCATTTGTACTGCATCGTTTTCTAAATCTGCTTAAACCTCTGAAGAATTCAATTGATATAAATATGAAGTGCTTCATTTCAAGAAGAGGCTGGTAGGTAGTACATTATATGTACTTGAAAATAGTTTCTTAACAGACTTAATTTAAACATCTAGCCTTACTTATTACAGTTTTCTCAGATTTTAATTTTCTCAATTACAAGAACTACACGAACATAGGAATTTATTTCCTTGTTAGTTTTTAATAATTCTTTTTAAGACTGTATGTTGCAAGAGCTTAAATCTTAAATAACCCCAATGTCAAAAAGAGAGAAAACATTTCCAACAGCGAAAAAGGACTCTGAAGTTATGTTGGTACAAATTAAAGAATGAGGATTAAAGCTCAAAGAAATCAGTGGGATTTTTGCCATTGAATTGCCAAGATTTTCCAGCCTTCCACCTTATCACCTTGGTATGTTGATTTTACACCTCCTGTTTAAATTAACATTTCCACAGTACATGGCTGTTATTCCATGAGGTTCAGTATTTCCTAGGGCAGCAATATCAACGAGCAAAGAGCACAACAAGTGGAAGTCAACACATGTAATTTATAAACCTACCTGCATGTTGTGATTCATTATCCTCTAAAAACATTTCCATCAGAAGCGACATGGCCATTCACTTTCTGAAAACAGCTCATTTTCAAATTTTCATTAGAAATCAACAGATTTGTCATGTTCTCTGAACTGAGTAACTGAAAATATCATTAAAATACTACTATTGAGCTTATTGAGAGTGATAATTAACATAAGATCTTCTGTTTAAAGTGACAGCTTTCTTTAGGACACCATTCAAAATTTATTTAGACTAGTTCAAAATTAGATATTAATCATGAAATTACTATTTCATAATAGCACTCTAGAAAAATGCAAATCAGATGCAGAAAAAGATTGGCATGTTTAATTGTTTTTTTTTGTAGTACTCATTTTCTTTCATCATAGATGAACACTGGACTACTTTCATTAATAAAAATATTTCATAAACATGAGTGCATTTAAAATCCTTGGCTACTGCTTAAAAATATCTTTTCACAGTTACCTCATTATTGCCAGAATTGAGAAAATAATCTTTCTCTGGGTGTTGATCAAAAATTAAGCTCATAAAAAACATATATAAAATAATCAGAGATAGGTTAGTATCAAAATTACATACTATTTGGTAAACAGAATAGTGAGTAACAAAGTGTTACAATGGGTGTTTTTGACTAATTTTATTTTAATTATTTAACTTAATTTTCTGTGGTGGGAATTGTTGTTTCTATTTGTTGATCATCTCTAGTTAGATATTTTTCTTGTAGAAAGTCACAGAAGAAAATACCTGATTTGGGAGGATGTTCTTTGTTTGAATGTAACAATACATAGAGATTACAGAAAAATCTCAGTGTGTCAAATATATAAATATATAAACTTCCTATATCAATGAATGCTTTAGATTATTTCCATATACATAACAACTTTAAAAATTACCATTAAAAGCACTATTATGGGAATGCTTCCTCCTTCTAGAAACAGGCTGCAGTGCAAATGTTATTAACAAACTGTGAGTCCCCAAATGAAGATGAAGGTAATGTATTTCCTCACTGAATACTCACGTGACCAACAAAACATTATTCTCTGTAGGTTTTGGTTTTATAAAATGCAAAGTCATTACAGAAGAGCTCTTTGTAGAAATGAAAGGATAGATCTGAATGTTTGTGTTTTCTGAAAATACCATTTTGGTGCTGAAGCAAAAGAAGTCTGTACTATCAGCAGGAAACTATTGCCTTCAGTGAGGGAGGAGAGAGAAGAAAAAAAAAGAAAAAGAAAAAAGAAAGTGTTTCAGTTTGATACTTTAATATCATTTCACTACAAAAATGAACACTGCATTTGAAAATTCTGATTCAGAATGAATTCTCTTCCTCCATTTGCATTTTATAAAAAAACAAAAAAAAAAAACAAAAAAAAAAAAAAAACAAAAAAAAAACCACCACAGCTGCATCTACTTTCTCGTTTTATTTCAGATAACTTCTTCATCAGCCAGGCATTGTATGTTGAGACTCTGCTGTGTTCCCTGTAGATTGAATCCCTTTGGGTTCTCATTTGTTCTCCAGCAAAGTAGGTAAAAATCTAAATGATAAAATAGTGAATCTTCATTTAATTAAAATTCTAGGTAGAGCACTATAAAGCTTCTGGGAAGATTTTTTTTTCTCTCAAGATATAAGCTGTGTTAGTGCTTTCTGTGAGTTTTAAATATTGCATCAGTTAGTTCTATTTTACTCAGTTTGTAACAGCCTTTACTTAGTCTCTTTTTTGCCACAGCATTTTTAAAATCAAAGGTCCTGGGAGGATCTCGCTATAGAGCCTTTTTACCCAGAAAAGTAATTTTGTTTGAAATATGGGGGTGTTAGAAATTGTAACTGTGGTATATCCAGGTATAAGTGCAAAAGATTAAGTGCTTTTTTAATTACTGTATAGAAAGGATTTTTTTTGTTATTGTTAATACAGTGAGCTATTTTTGACAAGTCTGCGTGGCTTCATTTTTCCCTTTAAAGTAGACATATGCAGTTACTTAGGAAAGTATTTAGTAAGTGTCGCAAGTATTAGAAGCAATGAGCAATGATAGTAAGGTAGTAGTTTACATGCTGGCGCAGACTGATATGGTTAGGGAATGCATTTTTTTCCTGGGTTTTTTTTTTTTTTTTTCTTCATATACTTCCAAGCAATTTAGATAGTCAGTGAAATCACACATGAGCATAGCAGGCAAAATAAATCAAAGAAAACTCTGCTCTACCATGTGATGAAACCCTTTAGAATGCTTTCTTTGTGCTGTTATTTAGCTCTGTGTTCTCACCAGATACTGTACCATGAAAATATACTGCAAATAGAAAAACAAGCTTGTTCAATAATGTGGTGATAATGAGGTGACATAAGAATGCTACTTTCTACAGCCAAAATATTATCAAACAATAGGCATTTATGAATTATGTGAAATGTTAATGAAACTTAAAGTTCATAAAATTTGTAACAAAAATCACTGGAATTCAGGAAAAAAAGCATCTCTATATTAGATTCTTTCCAAGTTTCCCTATGAGGCCATTCTTAATAAGATTTCAAACTCTTAAGTGTAATTAAGGGCGTAAGAGCATTGCTTCTGTGTGTACACAAGTCACTGTCAGTACTCATGATTTAAGGCTTTGAATTATGTCAGAAACATGATGATAGTTAGAAAACAATGCACTCTAAGAGATTTAATCTGCTTCTTTTTTGAAAGCCAATCAAAATTAAGTAATATTGAGACCTTAGGTCTTTTGTGACAGAAGTTTGGAATGGCAGTTCAAACAGGGGAAATGTGGTTTGGGGTATATCAATTGCAGTCTGAAAAAAAAATGAAGAATGTTATGAGAGCCATTACTCTTTTTATCCTTTTTCAAGTATTTTCCCAAGGTTTCATTTAAGCTATATAAGAAATAGTTGAAAAAATCATTGCTTTCTGTATATTAGGGATGTAAGAGAGAATTATTGGCAAGACATCAGCTTCTAGGCCGCTTCCGAGTTGGTAAATGTTTCTGGTTGCCAACAATGTACTTTGGGAGATATTTGCATTGGCTGTTTTTCTCATTGTTATGTTTATTGTAAATTCTACAGGAAAACTGAAAAAAAGCATCTCATGTTTACACCACTGCTTTCTGCTGCTGTTTATTATTATGTTGTGTATAAACATAGTTTCCATCTATATCTGGAAAGACTATCACAGTGCACAGTCATGCATTGTTTCTCAGTTGTGAAACAAGTATGAAAGGATATGGATGCTTTTCTGTATTTATTTGAATAGTGTCTTAGGTTAAAAAAATGATTTAAAGAATATGTGTTGTTTGGTGTTTTGTTTTTTTTCTCTTCTCTGTGGGGCTGTTTTTGAACATGGAGTGCGTATATGTTAATTCACACGCTGGTAGAGTTGTGGAAGGTTTCTTTGCCCTCAGTGGGCATTGGATGCGATTTAGCATGAAGATTCACAATATTATGTTGCTGGAAAGTCAGAATTTTGAAAAGAGAAGTCATGACAGTGAGTCAGTGGAAGAGCAACTCGTATTGCTTTTGCTGACGGATAATTTCTAGTTTGGACTGCTTATAATCATTTATCAATGTGCATATGTCTATATTACAAGTCAAATCAAAGAAACACAGATCCATGTTTTAGTAGTTCTTATACACAGATGTATTTCTTGCAAAAAATGCAAAGATCATAATTCTCATCAGGCTTAAATTAATGATTTGTTTTCACTTATTTTCCTAAAATTAACTTTTATGTCATTTCCAGGTCTAGGATTCAGGATTTTCCAATCTATGATGCATCTTTAAATGAACATAAAGTCAACTAAAATTTTACAAACAATATTATTTTTGTGCCATGCAGTGATGTATTTCCATATCTATTATTAATGCCTTGGTTGCTACTGTCTCTTTTAAATTACTTTGTATTATGCCTGTAGCATGTGTTTGTGTGCATTATCTTCACATGCCTCATCTTGTTCTCCTGCTCTGCTCTGAATGGGGAACTTCTTTATTTAAAATCAAGACAGCAGCTTCTGGGTTATTAACAACTCTGTCACAGGAATTTGCATCTGCTATTCTACTGTGGTGGTAAGAATGTCTGTCTCACTGTATCCTGTATTTTGATAACAGATATGATCTCTATCAGTTTTTGAACACAAGCTAACTAGACTCAAATGAGTGAATCTATTTCTTTACTGGCAGTTTCTTTTAAGCTTACAGGACTCAAAAGCACTTACATAAAAAGAGATATACGAGCATCACGCAGAATTCCAGTCACTGTTAGATGTACATAGGGATGCTGACCCTGCAGAAATGTTCCTGTTGGTCACAGTACTTGTAATTCAGCATGTGGAAAGTTGTGCCTTTGCAAGAGGTCATGATAACTTTCTTATGCAGGAGTATTAGTTTAGGCAGCCAAGACATTATTTTTAAGTACATGTGGCTTTTCAGCATTGTCATAACCACAGCCTGTTCTAAAGAGTTGCATGAATAATTGAGTATTTGCTTTCACAGCCAAAGTGAAAAATGTGTGTGGTGGAAATGAGTCATAAAGAACCAAATTGTGGCTTTTCACAGTTAATATGAAGGAATTTTTATGCAAGTTAAAAATTCTGTTTGTTCTGCAGTGTTTTTATTTTCAGGCATTAGAATGAAAAGACAAGCATACAGACACATACATGTATATACGCCTACATATACACAGCCTTCCAGTACCTAAAGGAGACCTACAGGAAAGTTAAGGAGAGACTTTTTAGAAGGACATGTAGTGATGGGACAATAAGAAATGGTTTTAAACTGAAAGAGAGTAGATTTAGACTAGATATCATGAAGAAATTGTTTACTGTGAGGGTGGTGAGACTCTGGAACAGGTTGACCAGAGAGGCTATGGATGCCCCCTCCCTGGAAGCACTCAAGGCCAGGCTGTGTGGGGCTTTGAGCAAGCTGGTCTAGAGGGAGGTGTCTCTACCCTGCTATAGCAGGGGGGTAGGAGCTAGGTGATCTTAAAGGTCTCTTCCAATCCAAACCATTCTATAATTACATGATTCGATGATATGTACCAAGCTACTTCTATCCAGTAAGCTAGTACTGGATAGTACTATGTTAATTATATTTAACTTTGCACTGCTTGATTTGTTGAAAGCAGATGATATGAAATGGATCTGGATCATGGATTCTATTTTCCCACATAAGACATTACTGTATTATTAACATTCTGCATAAAGGCTGAAAATGTAAAACCACCCTACAAGGCAACCTCAGGGTCTAGTTTTGTTCTAAAAATGTACTTAATGAAACAGCTCACTGCTAAACAAGTAGACTTTCTCCTTGTATCTGCTAAGACATTTGTAACACATAATATCTTGGAAAGGGACTTCATCTTTATATATCCCTGCTAGCACTGCAGGGTGACTTGGGCTATCTTGTTTTGGCAACATGCTAGTGTTAAGTTATAGTCAGTTATGTTTTCTATATATGTAATTAAATACACAACTTGCATAGCTAATAGGATTTAATAGTAATTAATTATGAAAAAAAGAAATTAAGAAGGGAATAAATGTTTTCATGTTACTATAATCCTAGTTCAAAGCAGTTTGAGCAATTGAGATGAGGCACCTCCATTCCATTCCTTTGGTGCAAACTCAGGAGCTGAGTTTTTGAGACTGGTGCATTTAGGTACCTCATTCTGAAGGAAAGCATTGGGCTAACTTCCCAGTCTCCAGTTAGGTGTAGAAATGCTGTTGTAGACACAGATCTAATGCCTCTTTTGACACGGCCAAACATCTCTGCAATAATTATTCTTTCGTCTTCTCTTTTAATGGAAAAGATACACAGTGCTATGTTTGCTTTTTTAACTTAACTTTGCTAGTCATAAATGTACGAAATTCTCATGTACACTGCAGAAGATTAAAGAAGTGGGACCTGAATTTCAGTATTGCAAAATCAACATTCAGTTCTGAGGTGTAAGCAGCTTATCATTTAACTACATTCTGCTGCAGCACATGTGGGCTGGAATAAATGGCATGGTACCAATGGTACCAATTTTTCAAATTCTTCTGTTTCTGCAATACATACCATGAAATCATCAGCCCTTCCTTTAGGAGTTGATTTAGTACATGTTTTACTGACAGTAAAAAAAGAAAAATAATAGCTGTTGTAGGCAGTGGGACAAGCCTGCAGAAGAGTAAAATAATCTATTTTAGAGTATGGTGAGGTTTTTTTTGTTTGTTTTTTTTTTTTTTTTTTTGCAGCCTTCTTTATTGTCTTATTTTATGTTCTGTGGATTATAAAATAATCAAAATCTCGAAACTGTGGCATGTAGTAATATTCAGGATTTTTCTAGTTGTATTTAAATCCTGATTATTATTTATTGAGGGTGAAAGGATATAAGAGAGATGCAAACATGTTCACCGGACGCTCTATCACACTAATTAGTAGCTGATGATCTGCATGGGTATTTATGTTCATGTTACATATATCTATAATTTCCTATTTCTAAATCCTAAAAATGTGATCTGAATTACTTATGAGTAAAACATTACATACTTAGTCCTGCTTCTTTT